CCAAGTAGAATCACAAACAAATCAGGAGTTAAATGTAAAATACTCCTGAATAATACTACTGATCCTCCTACCACTCCTGCAACTATTATTATTCCTAGAAATACCAACAGTGGCAACAGCGGCTTATGAATGCCATGCTAATGAGTACCGCCTTTAGAATATAAGCGATTATGTAATTTCCAGGCCTATTGCAAAATGCAAATGTAAAGCCCTTGTTTCAAAACTTCTTATGAATTTCAAGATGGTGTCAGAGGTGCATTAAACTAAGAATGGAGATCTTCTAATCTTGGGGCTCTGTGCAAAAGCACAGGTCACAAACCATGAAGCTGGCCTCACTCATGTTTCTTCAAAAGATACCTAAGTCTTAGTATAATGTTTAATGATAGGGACAAGTGAACAAATGTGTCATCAATTCTCTTATTCCTCTCCTTCTATGAAAATGTCAGGCTTTGCTGCCTCTTATAAGTCTCTTATATCATCAAGAGAACCATTAGAATCAGAATATGTCACAATTCCTGGATGACCAGCTTTTATTTCACTGACTCTTGAGATAATGTACTTCCTGTGGTGTTCGGACATTACCTTGCTGAGCCTCTCAAATTCTGTGTAAAACAAAACTAGGAAAGCAGCTCAATCGCCATTCCTTCTCCTCTAAGGCCCTTCAGTTAAGAAAGGTTATATTGATGATACTAAGCCTAAACTGAGCCATGGCAAGAAAAAGGCTGCCTGTTTCAGGCTACTTACAAAGAACAGACAGCCACTGAAGCCACAGCCTCACACAAGACTGTGCTAGGTGATTCTCCCTGCAGAAAGGCTAGACATTTCACGTGTGAATTCATCCAGTCCAACTCCAGATGAGGCTTCGCCCAACCCCACTGTTTGCCAACCTTCCACATCCAAGCTAGGAAACTGTCATGGTTTATGTCAGGGGCCCCTAGGCCCCATGCCTTTGCATTATGCATTTGTGATTGGTTCACTGTCTAGCACTTGGATTGATGGTGTCAGTGCTACACCCACATAGGGGTGGAGCCAGCATACAATGTAATGGCAGGAAAAAGGTGTGTCCCTCTCTCTGGCTGTTTTCTGCCTTTGTGTTTGCAGCCACCATGAACTGCGGCCCGCCATGCCACCCTGCCTTGGAGCCAACTGAGTATGGACTGAAACCTCCAAAAACTATAAGAAATAAACCTTTCCTTTCCCAGCTTTGGGCATCAGGTATTTTGTCTCAGCCATGAGTAAAAAGTAACTAAGACAGAAACCAATAAAAGAGTGATAGAAAAACCATCAAACAATGAAAGATATACTATGTTATTTAACAGGGCTATGATAACATCTTCAATGAGATCCACACTTGTCTTTCTAAATACAACATATAAAAAGTTATTTTTATTGATGTCCAATCTCCAATATCACTATGTCTTAGAGTTTGGCTTTCTGCCCACCAGAATACTTGTGTCTTGACAAATGAGTTGCTATATTTAATCAATTCTAAGATGCATAATTTTTTCAAATCTCTGCAAGCAGAATACACATTAGACTCAAAGGCTTTTTTACAGTCACTGGGGGCCAGCAGGTGGCTGAACAGGAGCTGTTGCTGTATAGTCTCGAACTTGATCATGGACACTGCCATATCCAGATATATGATAAAAATCTGTCTAAGTACAAAAGGTTTTTCAGTCAACAGAGAATTAGAATTTCATGGATAAGAAAGTTTTACATGACAATTTTTTCTGGAAGTATAACTGTTTCTTAATGTTACATAAGAAAAACTAAATTAAAAATTTCTCAAATGGGATGAAATACTTCAAAACTTCAATGAAATGCAATTAACCACAACTGGAAATTCAGAAGAGTTTCAAAAGTTTCACATGTAATCAGTAAAGAGCCTTCCAAAGTTCGTACTAGAAAAGTTTTTACATACTAAGGACAGATTATTTTCAAAGAGCCTTAATGGAATTGTTTTTACTTTTTCCTGCTTTACAAGTTTGTCAACACGAAATCTAAATTTGCCAACTTAAAATCTAAACAACAATGAAAGGTATTGGTTACACTGGAATATTAATATACCTGACTAGATTATTGGACAAATCAATTTTTCCATAGTTGTGGTTTAAAAGAAGTTTGAAATTATTCAATAAAAATTTTAGACAAGTGCTATCACATAATACATATAATGTGAGCTATATGTGGAATTTTTAATTTTCATGTTGCAACATTTTAGAAAGTTAAAAATAAGTGCAATTAATTTTAATAATATTTATTACTTATCTCAACCCAAAATATTGTCATTTCAGCATATTATCGATATAAAATATTGTCTACTCTACTTATATGTGTCTTGTTTTTGCAACATACCATATTGTAAATTTACAGCACATCTCAGTTCACGCCCAGCATCTAATCAAGAACAACAGCCTAATACCAACTATTTTCCCTGCATGCTTAAAACTAAGCAAATTTTCCAGTTTTTCTCCATATTATCACTAAAGTAGAAAGCAAAGCACCTCCTAACAAGTAGCTGTATATATTTTACTGCACTGCTTCTAATTGCAACTAGATTTGATTCTAATACTAAAAGTGCTTACGCCAGTAAAATTTAACCCATAGAATTTATATATGATTTGTTACTGATAAGGTGCATCATTCAGTTAAACTAGTTCAAACTATTTTCTCAGGGTGTATCTTGAAATAACTTTTCCAATTAAAGTCAACCCTTATTTCATTTTATAAATAACATGTCTTCTAACTTATATTAAAAATAAAATGATATGCTAATTACCAGACCAATTCTTTTTAGCAATATATATTTTACCTTCCATAACATATAGTTCAGTAGTTTGATTTGATGATCAAGCAAAATTCATGGATTTAAAAAATTTCATATGTCATTAAGTATTCCCATAAACCTACTACCAGTGGTCTGAAAGCACATGCAAACATATGTACCAGAGGAACCTGACCTTGCCATCAGACTCCTTGTATCATCTATGGATTAGATTTCAGCTACATGTTACATTGCTTAATTTAAATTTATATATGAGGATTTGGGAATATAGCTCAGGGGTAGTACATGATCAGGGTCCTGGAGTCAATTCACAGGATCATAAAAGCTACACAAAATAAATTATAAGTACATGAAACACCTATCAGAAGCAAAATTGTTATTTAACTTCTCTATTTTGAAATGGATAAAAATTTCATTATTATTGTAAGTCTTATACCTACTTGTTCATTATCTTTTTAATGAGATGTGTCCATTAACTGACTTCTCTATAGTTTTAATAATGATTCTCAATATACATATAGTTTTTTCTTTGAAGAATGAAGTCAGTCACTTTTTCTAAAACTAAAACTGATTGGGTGCATTATTCTGACATGAATATTGCCTTTGCCAATTATACTGTATTATAAATATTTTCCGTAACTTTGTTGATTCAACACTGTAATCTCATTTCAATATTTAAAGGCTATAAATTTAGATGTTATATCACGTTACTTTATTGAAAAAGGCATATTTATCTAAATATTTTGATTTCACCAAACATTTGTAAGTATAATACATTAAAAATAATGCCTCAAAGTTAAATTATAACAAGCACAACCGTCATTTGATAAATCTTGGTACAGCCATTTTGGTAGACTTCCTAGAAACTGAAAAAGGAAATGACTGAGAAAAAAAGATTCTAGTTTCTATCATCAAAAATAGCTCAATGATTTAAAATAACAGTCATCTGAGTAACTTTGCTTTTTGGGATTAAAGATACACCTAATCTAGTGATCTGTTAAAAATTAAAAATTTTATTTAAGTTATTTTAAATCATTAAGCTATTTTTGATGATAGGTTTTTGTGTGACTTTTGACTTGTGATTTGAACCTTTATTTCATTCCATTCTGCTTATTGATGGGAACAAGGTTATCTGGGTTCTTATATCTATAAAACTGAAAAATAAGTTGGATGTAGTGGTGAAATCTCAGATATTCAGGAGACTGAGGCAGGAAAGTCACAACTTTGAGGCCAGTGTGGACAAGGAGTAAGACCCCTTCTCAAAGTAAAACTTAAAAAGGCTGGGGATATAGCTCAGTGGTAAAGTATTTGCCTAACACTCACAAGGCCTTGGTTCAATACAGTACCAAACAGAAACGAAGAAAGAATATTGGAGAAGAACAAGGTTAAGTTCATTTGTAAGATGCATTTCCAACCAAATCTACCTTTCGGTTTACTAACTGCTTACCAAAATGTATCATATTTTATGTACTTCTTATCAGCTGTATACTACTAATAATTGAATGATAACATTTTAAAACTTGAGGCTTATAATCCACAGGAACACTTATTTCAATCATTTTATACTTGCTGGAGAGATGTGTGCTAGGATGATCAATAAAAAGCCTTTAAACATAAAAAATATATTACATCAAAATCAATTATGTAAGAAAGTTGAATTGAATGATTATTTCAAGGAAACAGAAAAATCATGTAAAATTTCTTACTGCTTAAAAAAACCTTGTTCATTGCTTTCCTTTTCAATTAACAATGAGTATCAAAATAGTATATTTTCATTTCATTGAATAATGTCAAATGTAATTAAATCATTTTGTTAAAAGTATAAATATTTATAGTATGCTAGAAATAACAGAAAATATTTAAACTCATTACAAATTTCTAATGTTAACGTCAAAGCACAGGTGTGATGTGATAAACCATTTTTCAAAGTGCCTTGCGGTGGCAAAATTCTTAGAAAATGTGAAGACTGCCATTATCGAAAACAGTTTTAGTGAAGCCCAGAAGGAAATCTGGGAGAACAGGGATGGAACTTGAAAATAAAATTTCATTTGATTGCTATTTTATGTCAAGATATAGCAAAAAAAAAAAAAAAAAACAAAAACAAAAAACAAAAAACAACGTAATAGATTCTAAATTTTTTTCCAGCACAGTTACACAACCTTGTAATGGGTCAAATTCCAGAGGGTTTGAAGAAACGCACAAATACTGTACTTACTCAATATGGTCACTAGATGGCAATATGCACTGGGAGCGAAGCCCTCGTCTGCTCTTCTCTCTTGTCTTCCAGCTCCTCCTACGAAAAGGAAAAGAGTACTAATGACAGTGACAACAATAATACAAAATATTTCTTTCTAGTCTTCCCATTCACCAGGGACAGCAGTTAACATCCTTTCCGAGAACTTCAGAAATGACCTTGTTTGTGAACAGAATCTCTTCTCTATTAATGCAACAACAAATTAGTTCTTATTGGTACATCAGAAAATAAAGTTAATGTCTCTATGGTATAAGCATTTTGATTTTTCACCATAAAACTCAAAGCCTATCTAGCTAAGCAGTTTGTCTTTAGAAAAACTAATATACTGGCACAGCAACAACAGCATAATGTACGATGTTCTAAGCACTGAGATCAGCTCATTTCATTGAATCTTCAAACAAGTCTGAAAGGTGAATATGAAGATTACTCGCACATGACAGATGAGAAAACAATAAAGGTACCCTAATCTATTAAGCAACTAAGCTATAAGGCTGGAATGAAATGCAAGTCTTTTGTGTGTATTTAATTTCAATAGCTATGCATAATACTGTGCCATGTAAGTGGGGCATGTATGTATGAATGGATCTTTGGGGCTATGCATATGTTTATATTTCTGAGCTTCCATGTGATCTATGGCTCTGATTTTCTGCCCGTAGATGTATGTATGTGCAAAACATGTGCTCTTGAGACCTTTTGGGATTCATTTCAGTAATTTCCATATGGACTTTATACAATATAGTCAGCTGATGGGACTTCATAATCTTCACTCTCTCAAGAGGCTATGAAAAAAGTACATTAGCAGTCACAGCCTCCTTTAAAAATATGTCTCCCTTTATATGTGCTTGGTCATCTGTGTTTTCATATACATAAATCCGCGTGTGTATCTGTCTGTGCATGTAAATCTGTGTTTCTGTTTTTAGTATGATTAAGATCTATATGTGCTATATGCCTATGTTGGCATGTGTGTGTCTATGTGTGCGTTCATATAGCTGTGGTTCATTTAGATCTTGTACACCATTAAAAGCACAGAAGTACATCTATAGATCAATGTGTGCCAATGTGTGTGTGTGCACAGCTGTATATCTGTGTATCTATGCATCTGTACGTTCTTACTACACTTAGGTATGTATTATCTATAGATACATGTATATGTCGCTTGCTTTTATGTGCTTAGGATGTGGTCTGCTCAATGCTGTGTGAGAATACACTGAACCCACACACTATACATCTACATGTGCCTTTATGTGTCTATCTATTCAAATGCAATATAGAACTCTGTGCACATGTGCCTGGGAGGAAGTTTAAAAATGTCGTCATCTAAGTGGGTAAGTACATATGTAAATGTGTATGCAGGGCTGCACCTGTGTACCCCTGCATTTATCTGTGTGTGCATGCATGCCTACAGGATAGCATCTGTGTCTATTTGGACATGTTCAGTGCTCATGTTTACTGGCTAAAAATGTTCATCTGTATAACCTCTACATGTCTATGTATCTGTGTGTACATAATATGCACAGGTCTACATGTCTTGGTTTGAATTTATATGTCTGGACCTTTATGTTATTTCCTGTAATGCTTTTATCTATGTCTGGGACCTTCTGTATTAGTGATGGCAAACCTCTTAGAGCTCTCAGTGATAACGAACAGCTCACTATGGCATGTATGTCAAAGGTGCACTACCAATGTTCTATATTCACATATGTACATCACAGTGTTTATGTGTTCATTCACCTCTGTTTGTATGTGCATGTCTATGTGACCTTCAGCATATCTTTAGAATTATGTGTCTGAACAGAAATCTGTGTGTAAGTTATTGTCTTTGGATGAATCCCAGTGATTCATCCGAAGAAATCTGTGTGTCTCTGTGTGTGAATGTTTATGTTGATGTGTGCATAAGGACTCAGTATGAATGGGAATTCAGCATGCCTGTGATAGATACAGATATACATAGAGATGTAGATATATAGATGTATGTGTTCCTGGGTTGTGCACACCTCTGTGGCATGCATACTCATCTGTAATTGCATGCATACATACTAGTCTACACATAACTGTCTGCACAAATGTGTGTCAGTGAAAGTATGCACGGCTGAACACATTTCCATGAGGATAGACCAATAGACACACATGATTTTGTGTATATCTGTGAATCTCTGTATTTGTATATGTTTATGGATATCCATGTGTACCTGTATACCCAGGAAGTATTCTGCATGTTTATAGATGTTTAAATGTTTCCACAAGCATCTGCATAAGCAAGCATCAGTGCAATATTTTGGGTCCAACAAGGTGTGCATATATATGGGTATGACTGTGTATACATCCCTTTTCTCTGTGCACCAGCTTGTGTTTCTGTGAATTTGCCTGTATTTCTGGACACTCATGTAACTTGGTGTGCTCCTTTTGTGTACAAATGAGTCAGTATGAGAATATGGACGTGCTTTGCTTTGATCCCAGAGTCTGTGTCTCAATGTGTCTCAGTGTCCATATGTGGATGCATGCTTTTGAGAAAGTAAGCCTGCACTGGGATGTACTCATACTCAATCTCTCTCTCTCTCTCTTTCTCCTTATACACGTTTCTCTGAATCAATGCAGTGTGACCAACAAATATGGTAAAAATATAAATTTAAACAATTGACTACAGTAAACTGTGTTGTTATTAGCCCTCTCCAAATGCCCTCCTACACTTTGAACACACTTATCCCATCTTTCTGTCCACTTTCTGCAGCACTTCTGGAAGTCCGCTTTCATGTCTTTAGTTTCACTGGCATGGCTGCTTGAATATCCTGTATCAATTCACAATATTTACCTTTCACGATCATTCTGATTTGGGGGAGGATTCAGTACTAAGGTGGATGAGGGCACATTGTTACGCTGTCACTAGCCTACACTGGATGACACAATGCAGCAGCATTCCTCTGTAAATAGTGAAGCCATGATTGGAAGCAGGCATGTTTGTCTCCATAGGCTGTGTTCTCAATCTTGCTTGATTCTAAAAAGGCCCTCATCTTGTCCTTAGACTAACCTAAAAGGAGAGTTACTTTTTCATTCATATTTAAAAACAGCTAAATAGACTCAAAGAAGTGAAGTCACTCACCAACTCTGTGTGAACATGTGGGTCCTCTTTTCAGAATCTGAGGAGCAAATCGATATGCTGTGAGAAGTTGATATAACAGACTGAATTTTGCCTCCCGAAATGACTCTAAATGCTCTATATTAATCATACATAGTATACTGTTTTTCTAGGCTGTACACTTATGGTGGTGTAATTTAGATGTATTTGTGTGCTCTGCTGTAAATTTATGATGGTGCATTTTTCAGTGTATTTGTGTGCTCCACTGGGGAAGTCATGGACTATGGAAATGTTCTCACATTATAGAGCAGGGCAAGATATTGTGATCTACACACTGAAGTCTGTGTATTATGGGATATATCTTGGAGACATAGGGATGATGCCATTTCCTGGGCTGATTTCAGAGATCCCATCATAGATTTCTATGCCATATTACAATCTTCGGATTTTAGAATGTGGCTGTGTTTTATGGAGAATTCATGTGAATTTTTGTGTTGGAAGCAGAGGTGGTGGTAAAGTCCATCAGGTGTGAGGTCTCTATGAACCTAGTGCAGCATTTCTAGAGTTTGTAATCCAATTCTGTGTGTCATGTGGTAAATGTGTATGGTGTAGACTGATTTTAGATGGAAGGCAGTATAAGTCTTAGTGTTATAGAGTGCAGGTGATCAGTCACAAATCTAGGGAAAACAGGTTGTGTTTGTGTTGTAGAACCACTTTGTACTATAAGTCCACTCTGATTAAGATGCAACTCTTTGTACTGTGGGATACAGCACTGTGTATTGAGTGTGGATCTCTGCGTTGTTGGGTGATGGTTTGTCAGCAATGTTTTGTGGTCGGGTATTTTTGTGCAGCATAGAGTGTGTTGCTCTGTAATGGAGCAAGTCTGTACATTTTGAGGTTTGCTGTAAACTGCTTGTGCATTTTTTATGTATTATAGGTCATGTATAGGTGTGTGGTGCTGTGAGGTTGTGACAAGATTGTGTGTGCTGTAGAAAAGTCTGAGTGATATACAGCATGCCAGTGCATTGTGAAAAGAACAAAATGGGCCAACTCTACACTGGGATTTGATTCTAGGCATTTTAGTGTGTGACTGTACATGAGGGAAAGTGTGTAAATGATGTGGCAATTCTGTGACTCTTCAGAGTGTCTGTGAACTTTTGAGGCATCTCTGCATCACATAATGTACCATTTTATTGGAGTGCTTGTCACAGTGGGCTAGTTTGTACCCCTTAACAGGATGTAGGGATGGTTACCTTGTGGGCTAAGGCTGTACTACAAAATACATGCCTAGTAAGGAGTGTACCTGTGCAATATAGGACAGATCTTAATTTTATGAGACATGTTGGTGAGTTCTCAAACAGTTCTCTGTGTGGAGGGGCCTATGATTTCTTTGTAGGATACTTGTGTGACAGAGTGTAGAAATCTTAGATGCATCTGTGCATTAGAATGTAATATTGTGTTTGTGAAGAAGTATTTCTGTCACTGGGTAAATCTGTCCATCACAAGTGATATCTATGCATTATGGAGTTAGTTTGTGCATTATTTAAGATATACCTTAGCGTGAGTGGCAAGACAATTTGTGGAGACTGGACATTTGGAATCTGTAATGGGAAAATCAATCCTACAGAGGCTGTGCATTACAGAGACTTTTGCACTGTGGAACGTACCTGTGGGTTATGAATCATCTCTTGGTGTTAGGAAGTGAGTCTTGGCATGGTGGAGGTAAGTGTTTTTATTGTAGGCTCACTGACGGCATTGGAGGCATTTTTATGTTTCTCTGGTGCAAGACTGACTTCTGAGGCAAATCTAGGTGTCATGGTGATAGTGGATACATTCTGGAGCACGACTTGCCATTTATGAAGTTTTTCTTTGCAAAGCACAGTTGTAGACTGTGATGGGGATTCTATGGGATATATGAGGAGTCATGTGTCCTGAAGCATGTGTGACATAGTAAGCTAGTCTAGCTATTCAGTGGTTAGTATGGAAGTTATAGAAGCACTCAGGCATTGTGTGGCTCATATTGATGTTATGAAATATTTCTTGCTATTGTGATGCATCCCTGTGTTTGGGATCATGTCTGGTAATTATGGAGCATTATTTGGCAATCCTACGCTTTGAAGATGAATCTCTGCATTATAGGATAATGCCATGTATGAGGTGAGTTTGTGTGTTGTAGGATGAATTTGAAGACTGGATAAAGTCCACAAATTGTGAGTAGACTCTGTTTCCCACAGTGTGTTTTAGAGCTTCAAGACATGTCTACACTGGCAGGACACAAGGGTAAAGGGACAAGTCTATGGGTTTGAGGAAGTAACTATATATTCTGAGCCCATCCCTTATGATTATGTGATCTGAGAAATATTTGTAAGTCACTAGGCAATGCTATGTTTTTCTGATATCCCTATTTATGAAGCACATTCATGCATTGAAAGATGTACGCAGGATAGTGTATGCGTTTTATTAAAATGTGGGATGCTGCGACGTGGGATTGGATATTGTATGACAGCTTTTAGTGTTATAGAATTCTCTGTGCTATTCAGAATTTAGTCTAAGTGATGAGTGTTGTCTGTACACTGCAAAATGGGCTGGGTATTATGGGGCACATGTTAGTTACGAAGTGATCCAGAGAGGGCAAATCTATGATTGTTCTGGGGTGACTTTATATATTTTGAACTGAGTGAAAATGTTTGGAGCAAGATGAAAATTGTAAGATAAGGGTATATGGGAGTGAATCTATTCTGAGTCATTGGTTATAATTTTGCATTATTGTGTAATTTTGTATAGTAGTTCTATGTCGTATAGAACATGTGTATATTAGGGACAAGCCCATTTGTTGTTGAGTATGGCTAGGTTGTATGTGCTCGAGCTGATCGAGTTTTATAAAGGGTAAGTGCATGTAATTAGGCAAGTAGGACATGGTGTGACAAGTCTGGGTGCTGTGTGTGTGTGTGTGTGTATACAGAATTCCTTTGCATTGCAAGACAAGTTTTAGCACTGTGGGAAAAGTCTGTGAATTGTGAAGCATGCCATATGGTGTTGAACATGTCCATGCCTTGTGGGTGTTACTTATTTCGGGTCATGTCTGTGTGTTGTACAGTAATGCATGCTAGTGAGTGAGTGTGAGTGTCACAGTGTGAATCAGGGTGTTCTTTGGTAACAGTGGCATGGGTATGTCTGTGTTTGTGACTTCTATGTGCTGTGCATTCCTTTTGCACTCTGATCTAATGAAGGTTAAGTAGCTGTTTCACAGGGTGTGCCTGGGAGGGGGGATAGGTGGGCATGCCCGTGTGCTGCTGAGGTTGACCTCTGTGACTGAGCATGAGGATGGACTCATGGGCCAAGTCCGTGTGTTATGCAGAAAGTATGGACAGTTTGTACCAAGCCCTCAAAGAGTGGAGCTCATCCGGACAGTGTAAGACTTACTTGTGTGGCTGAGCATTCATATGTGTTATAAGTCACAATGTGAATGTTTTGGAGGGAGGACATATTTTGCTGAGTCCACAGCTACATGGTAGAGTAAGCCTGAGGCTTTGGGAGGCATTTCTGTGGGATCACTAGGAGTCTTGCTCTGTAAGCTTCTGCAACATGAACTGAGCACTGGGATCTGCCCAAGCAAAGTGTGATTCTTCTGCTTCTTTTCAGTCCTGTGTTGTGAGGGAAATTTTTGTGCTAGAGTGGCAGGAGATCCCACCTGGCACATTTCTGACAGTGTGTTGCAGCTGAGATACATTCATGAGTGGTGGGGCTGGTTTGTACTGTAAGGCATGTCTGGCTGCTACAAGGCTAGACTGAGTGATAAGAGGTCTGTCTGGTATTATGCGATCAGTATGGGTTTTATCGGGCTGGATTAAATGCTATGGAGTGACTGGGTTCATAAAATGATTGTGGGTGCCAGGGGCTGAGGACTGATGTCATGAAAGTGGATTTCAGTTTCACTGTGAGTCCTTCCCGTAGAGAGGATGTAGATGTGCGTGGTATATATGTGGAAGGCAGAGTTTTTAATCTGTATGCTGTTCAAGTTTTCTGTCAGATCAGAGGAAAATATTTGTTCTGCAAAAGAAAGATTTTTGAAAGGCCAATCTGTCATGTGCTGAGAGTATGTTATGGAGAATGTAACTGCGCTACACGGCCAATCTGGTGAGCCGGGCCTGGGAAGCAGAGGAAGCTTGGATGTTGTACGGCAAGTCAGGATGTTGTGAAATGAATCTGGGTGATATTTATGTGTTAGGGCTTTGTCTCAGTGTTCTCTCGCACTCCAGACTTGTGCTGCCAAACAAATTTGGTATTGTAGAAGCAAGAAGTGATTTCGTAGAACTAGTCTGGTGTTGTGGTGTAGATCTGTGTGTCAGGGAATAACTTCTGTTATCACATAACAAGTCTGGATGAGGAACGCTGTGCTTGTGACTTATTTTTAATTGCACATGTGCTACCCAGTCTCTCTCTGTAATGTGAAGTTCATGTGTTGTAGAGCAAAAAAAAAAAAAAAAAAAAAAAAAACACGACAAGTGTTTATGGGAACAGTCTGTATGTTGTGAGTTAATAGATTTTGGAAGGTGTCTGTTTGCTATGGGGATTACCTCTATGCTGCTGGATCAGTGTTACAGGCTGAGTCTGGGTACTACAATGGATTCCAGTGCTTGTAGAGTTTCCTGTATTTTGTCCACTGTGCCATGTGCAAGTCTTGATGTTGTAAAGGGAAAAAGATGTGTTTTTCTGGACAGTCTGTGGACTACTAGGATTCTTTTGGCCAATACTGTAGGTTATGGGGAAAAGCAGGGTTGCCAGGCAAGTAACATCTAGATGGTGTTTCTGGTTTTGTGGGACAAAGCAGGTGTTATAGAGGAGGTGTAAGTGTCTAGTGGTAAATCAAGCTCTCAGTGGGGAATCTGAGTCTTGGTGTTGTGGGATGTACTTGTGCCTCAGGTATTTTTCTGTGTATTATGAATTCTATGTGGAATAAGACATGTCTTTATGTTGATAAGTAACTATGAAATCAATCTATGTCACCGGGAGACTGTGCATTATGGAGCATGGTGTTGCAAGGGATATGTGCTTGTTGTGTTGTAATTTGAGTTTTGTAAAGCTACTCTGGATTTTTTCTGACCAATCTGAGGGTTAAGGAACATATCTTAGTGTTGCAGGTTCAGTTTGTTTTCCAGCATTTATGTGTGCTATGAGGAAAAGTCTAAGAACTGTGGAGACAAGAAAATACTTTAGGGGGCCGCTATGTGCTGTTCAGACAGGGTTTTTTTTTTGTTTTGTTTTTATTCTAGTGTAGCTGTTATGGGACAGGATGTGCTAACTCAGGTCAGTTTGGCTATTGCAAGCTAAGTCTGGGTGCCATGGGACAAACAGGGATTCATAAATAGGTCTGCATTTCATGTGCCCATCTCAGTGTCTTTAAGTGACTCTAGGTCAATGCACTACAGTAAGACTGTTATGGAGTGACTTTGGGGATTGATGGCATGTTTATGCAACAAAATTTTATGTTAAACTTTCAGCATTTCTATATTTTCTCTTCTAAATCTTGTTGCTATGGATCAAAAACCTACTTTTCCCAACCCATCTATGTTGTCTGTGGATTATGTGCATGATGAAGAAATGGCCATGTATTCTGGGGAACGCCTGGGGATTATGGCGTGATTTTGTTTGGTTAGGAGCATGAATATATTAAAGCAAGTGCTAGTATTATAATGCATATGTGTTGTCAGAATGCCTGTTGTCCAGCGTTTATATATGCTTGAAGGCATTGGTGTTGTGGAGGCAGAGGTCCTATGAGATCAATCATTATTTTGGGGAAGAATGTGAGGGCACATATGTATATTAGGCTTTGTGTATGGATGTTCTGCGGCTACTCTTGGTAATGGTGGGCCACTGTGCATATGGCAGGGTGAATCTCTATTTCAGAGTGGCTGGGTAGTATAGGGCAAAGCTGGTCAAAGTGGAATTACCTCTTCTGCATTTTCGGTTCTGTGTATTTTTCAACATTCCTACACTAGCCTAGGTTTCATAGAGACAAGGAAGTGTTTCACAGAGCCATTCTGTGTATTGATGACAGCATCTGTGTGTGCCCACATAGTGTGAGTCGTGTCTGTGTGTCATGGATTTATCTATGTATTGTATAGCATGTCCACTGACTGGTGGGTTAGTGTGATGTTAGTGGTGTGAGTCTGTTTAATGTGGAGTGAATCTGGGGGTCCAAAGCAAGCCTTAGTCTTCTGCATTAAACTTGTGTGTTACAGAAAGGTCTGAGCACTGTGTTTTTCTGTGTGTAGACCATCCTTTATGGGTGTCATCCTTTATGGTGCTGCTCTGAGGAAGCTTGTAACAGGAAGTTACTTTGTGAGATGAATCCAGGTGCGGAAGGGACAGACTGTTGAATCATTGCTATTATATGTTACAGGGTTCTTCTGACAGTTTTGATTCAAACTGCCATGCTAGGGGCTGCATCTGTGTGAAGTGGAGCAAGTGTACACATTATGAGTCACATATGTGCACCATGAGATGTTTAACGTGTTAATGTGTGTTGACAAGTCTGTACTCAAGAAGTAAATCCTGCTTTTATATATCCAAGACAGTGTTTTGTTGGACAAGTATGTATGTCACAGGGAAAAATCCATGTGTTCTGGGTTGTGTCCCATTCCTATGTGCTGTAAGGCCAGTCTTGTTAGTGTGGTGAAGTTTATGTGCTATGATTCTGTACTCTGGAAAAGTCTATGTGTTGTGGATTGTTTCTAGGAATTTTGAAGTGAATTCTTCATATTGTGGAGCTGATGGGATGAGCATGCACAAATGTCTTTATGAACTGTGATTTTAAAAATATAGTGAATACTGCTAGTGTGTGCCATGCCCCCAAAAGGCAGGCTTGTGAAAATACTGCTGTGTCCTCATCTGTCTTATTCACCAAATACGGTACCCTCAGATGTCTGCCTTTTCCCCAAAGTCAAAATAACCATGAAAGGTAAGGCCCAGAAAGACAACCATGCCAGGACAACTAAAGATAATCACTCACAAGAGAGGCCTTCGGTGACTATATCAGAAAGTGGCAGAAAGGACTTACCTAAGTGTGTTGAAAGTGAGCAGGATTTTAAGATGTATTCACAGAAATGTGTTTTCAGTTGTATTTTTTAATTCAAACACACACTGTATTTTTCAATCATGCCTCCTACATTGTGGCATGTGTATGTGTATGCCAGGAAGTGTTTAGACACGTTTCTATATGAAGGCTGTATACAGGTGTCTATGTGTTACATGATGAGTCTAGGTGTTAGGCATACTACGTGGAAGATGCTTCTAGGTATTACGGGCTAAGCACGTCAATACAGGTATTGAATGGAAAGAGTAGTGAGAGGGTGAGTTGCAATGTAATCTGGGGCTTTATAAGGAATGTCAATATACAGCAGTTTGTGTCTATTGGTTTCATGCTGAGTCTTACCACTCTGTTCCAGTTCTTGCATAGCAACAGCAACAATAACAACAACAAGATCAGCTAAATCAGTAACACTAATTCATTACCAAGTGCTCTTCTAAGCACTTTATAGTCCTCAACATATTTATTTTTCTTAGGAGTCCTCTTCTTATCCCTAATTTACAGATGAGGGCTCACAAAACTTTTCAAGGTCAGAAAACTTGTAATGACTTCTGTGGGATTAGAGCCCAGGTAGCTGGGTCTCCGCGTAGATGCTTTACACTGGAGAGGGGAACTACACATCATGGGCCAATTCAGTTGGGCCTAGGGAGGCTGAGCTAACCTCTCCCTTGTGCCAGCTTGACAGCTGTGATGTGAGTTACTATACTATGAGCCTGCCTTTGGTTTGTGTGAGAGTGGGGATTTTAACAACAAGTCTGCCTACTGTGGGATGAGTTGGTAGGTACGTTTGTGAACAGCAGGGGAATCTATGTTATGGGACAAAAGTCTGTGAGCAGGAAGGTGTGTTTGGGTGGTAGCGGACAAACCTCTGAGTTCAGAGTACATATATGCTTGTTGAGTTGTGGGTCTTTGCCTCGTGGAGTGAGGCAGTGTGCTGTGGATCCACTCTGCACATTGTGAGATGATCTGCCTGTCCAAGAATGAATCTCTGTGTTGTACACGAGGAGATTTCTGAACTTCAGTGCACTTCTTTACACTATGAGTACTGCTAAGTTTAGGCCTCTATTTATGCTCTGTAATGTTGTGGGTACTGTGGTGGGATGTCTGTGATTTGTAGAGTGTTTCTACATTTTCTTAAGTTAGTTAACATATGCAATAAATGTTTGGGTTGCTAGATTACAGTAGGCATTAGGGATAGTTTTTTTAGGAGAAATAGGGGTAATGGGCAAGGGTGTGACTAGAATATAAATTAACATCTCCAATAACATTCTCATGTATCCAGCACTGTAATAAACACTTAACATGTCTTAATTCATTTATTATCCACAGTAAGCCTCTGAAACAAGTACTACTGCTATCTTTGTTTTACAGATGAGCAAACTAAAGAACAAAAATATACTTACCCACGGTGACACGTTTAGCAAGGATGGGATCTGGGATTCAAACCCAGGTGGGCTGGGTTCAGAGGCCTTGCTCTAAACCATTGCAAAAGCCGGATCTCTGCTGTATGCCAGAGCTGTAGCTCAACAGTACAGTAACTCATGTCCGTCCACTGGAATGGAAGTCTTTGCGAAGGAGGGTAATATGTGTGCTGCAGTCTACTCAGTGGGAAATGTTTCTGTAATTGTAGGTTTCGTACTCTAGACTAGGTCTGTGTGTTGGGAGGTAATTCTGTTCATTGTGGAATAAATCTCTGTGTTTATAGGCATGCCTGTGAATTTTAAGGCAAATCTAAGTATCGTGGCGTAAGTCCATGCCCTGCGCATGTGGGGTAAGTCTCAGTGTGCAGGGGTGCATGTGTGAGTTGGGAGGAAAGTAGGTATGCCCCTGGGAGAAGCTTCATTTTGGTGCTGTTCTGTACACAGCTCACACTGGGCAGAAGGGTAAGCAATGAAAACGGCCCAGGTGCTTTCTGGTAAATGTGAGCAGCACTTGGCAAACGGTTTTAGATGTTGTGGCGCATGTGCCCACACTGTGTAAGCAGTGCAGTTTGATGAAATGAAGCCGGATAGCAAGTGCATGCCATGCCATCATTCTGAGCATTGTGGGGCTGGGGCGTTGTGCTGTGGGATGTGTGCCCACAGTGGAGGTCGTGTGGGAAGTGAGGGAAAGGTGGACTGTGAAATGCTCTTAACGCGTTATGCTTTTGTCCACCACAGTGCCCATGTGCATGCTGCAGTGTTGTGCCATGCACTGTGACATATGTCCATTTACTACAGCGTGTCTGCAGAATCCGGAATGTGTTCTAGTGACAGCAGGCCGAGGTGTGTGTTGGGAGGGTGAATTTGGAGGGGGTGGTCAGATGTTATAGGATGAGAATGCCTGTAAAGAAAGCCTTTCCATTATATGGTCACTGTGTTTGTGGTGAAATGAGCCAGCACACTGAAGGACAATCTATTTGTCGCGATGCAATTCTGTGCAGCTCAGTGTGACACGTGTACTGCAGGACTCAGCAGCATCCCTGTGGGGTGGGCCAGACCTGTCTGCATGCTGTTGGGACTGTGTACTGTGGATCCAGTCTGTGTTTCACAGGGAGAATCTGTGTGGTATACATAACACGGAAAGTGGCTGTACAGCACGGATGAGTATATCCTGCTGGGATGGTCAGTGTCCTATGTGGTGTGACGAGGCTGTCTGTTGTAGCGGAGTTTTGAGGTCATGAGTCTGCATTGTGTGGAGAGTCCTGTGGGCTCCGGTGAGTGTCTGTGCTGTGCACTGCCCGTGCTCCATGGCGATATTTTTGAATATGAGTAATCTCTGCGGGCTGTGGGGGGACTGCGGTGTATGCCATGAATCTGTATGTCTTGGTGTCCTAGAAAGAGTCTGACTGATATGAAGACAGGCTGTGAGGGTGGTATTGCCTGTGAAAGCCATTTCTGTCCAATGGGGCAGTTCAGTGTCCCTTAGGTGGGTCTCCATTTTGAGGTGACTCTAATGATATGGGAAGTATCCCTGTACTACAGGACAGGTCTTTTGCTGGGACACTCACGGCCATGCTTTGAGGTGTGTCTGTGTGAGTAGGGCAAGTCTGTGTGTACCAGGTCTGTAGCTGGAGGTGCAAATGAGTGTTTGTACTATTTGAGCAGTGTAGGCATTAAAGGGCGAATTGTAACTGCTGGCGCAAGTCTTTTTCCAGGCAAGACTCCCTTAAAATCTAAAAATAACAACAGACAACACTTTTTAATGGTTACTATGCACCTGACCTTATTCTAAAGGTGCTACTAGTCTCCTCGTTTTTCATCTGTGGAAACCGAGGCACACTGAGAATAGCTGTCTCTTGATATGTCACCAACAAGTGGTGGGGGTTTGAAATTAGGCGATCTTGTTTCCTTTCCCCATACTGTATGGACCCCCTTGGTGCCCCAAGGTCCCCTCACTTCCCATGTAGGAGGTCTTCACCTTAGAAAGACTTTGTGATGAGTGGCAAAAACATCAAATGCAGCTGATTTGGGAAGAAGAAATATAAAGAGGCTCAAAGCCTTCAGAGGGCTTTTTAAGGCAGTAACGATGCTGGTTAAGTACTGTACAGAAAAACTGACCGTTAGGCCTGCAGAATAACTTGTTCCACTACTGCAAGCCCCCAAGACCCCTCCTATGGCTCCATAGCTGCATTTTGCTACAGCAGGGGAGCAAGTGCGCATGCTCAGGGGGGTGAGCTCCGTTGCCTGGGAAACCAGCCTCCAGTCATAAACAAATCAGAGCCTAATGCGGTAAGTTGGAAAATGACTAGGGCTGTGCCTCTGGGTCACAGAGAATGTCTTGAAATAACAGTGAGTAAGAAAGTCTCCCTGTCCTTTTATTCTACTATTAGTAAATGCCAGAGGCCAGGGTCAGAAGTCAATAGTAAAAGAAGGCTGTGTTGGAGGCAGGGCCTCAGCAGGTGCACTAGGGGATTTTCGAAAAAAAACTGTCAAATATTTCTGTAAGCAGCATTTAAGGCAGCTCCTGCTAAAGACTCTGTTTTATGTCTTGAGCCACCCACCTGCAGCAAAAAGAGGGGGACCAGTGGGGTGTTTGCTCTATGTCAAAGAGATAGTAACAGTGGCAGATCGGATTGGGACTCACCCTCTATCTCTAGATCACACTACTGTCAGCAACAGCCTGGCAAACATTTTTATTTCTGCTCCTCATACATTTCTTACATTTTCCTGTTACACCATTCTAGAAAATTCCAGGAACTGAGTCCAGACAGCTTTAACTCTGCAAGTACCTGGAGAATAAAAAAAGAGGTTGAAAGAGGAGCTTTAGGGATGGCCACTAGTCCCCTTTTAAATAAACAGCTGGGCCCTCACATGTGTCCAAGAAGAATACCACATCTGGAGCAAAGGTTTTCTATAGTCAGTTTCTCAATTTTAATTTGTCAAAAAGTGACAAGAATAAGCACTGCAAACGTTTAAAATAAAATTTGTTGGAAAACCACATAATTTACTGCACATGCCTAGGACGCTTGCAAAGCAGATGCACGAACAGGATGCTTTAGCACCCTGCCAGCTGCTGCCAGGAGGTAAGAGGACTATTGTGGAATGTGAACATCTTGGGTGGAGAGAAAATGGCCGACCTGTGGCAAGCTGCACCCTAGCTAATGGGAGAACAGCTGTTGCTGTTGCAAATCACTGGAAGAAGCAAGCTTGGCTTATTCAATAAGCAATGCTGAAACAATTGGTGACCTATTTAGGAAAAAACAAAATTAGATCCTACTTTGCACCACACACCATGCACAATCAATTTTAGATGGATTAAGAGGTCAATTACAAATGAAGGAATGAAGTTCCTAAGGGAAAATACAGGTGTATCCGTATATAAATAAATACTTAAAAGGAAAAAAAAAATCACAAAATCAACAGCTGATAGATGTAGATATCTAAAAATATAAAGCTTCCAAATGCTCCAAACATCACCACCATCAATGATGAAAATCAATAGGCAAACAATGACTAGAAAATAACGTTGTTACCACAGATGATAAATAAATTAAGTGATATGTCTTGAGACTGGGGGGAAAAACTTAAACTGGTTCATACCATTTGATCCATGAATTCCGCATCTATGAATTTATCCTGGGGGAGGACAGAAAAACACACAGAGATTTATATGGAAAGATATTTCTTAAATTATTTATAGCATCAAAATTGCACAAATGTACATTTGATAATTGGACATTTAGTGAGATTCTATCAAAAATTATGCATCCAAAATAATTACATTCTCATAGGTGTTTTAAAATGAGGAATTCCTTCTAGTATATGTCTAATGAATAAGGCAAAATAAAAATTGTATATACATATGATCTTCATTTGTATAAAATATATATCCCTATGCATATATTTGCATATGTTCAGAGAAAAGAGATTGATAGTAATTGTGTTTAAAGTGATTATCTTTGGGTTATGGGATTATGTGTGATTTTTATAGTTATCTGTATACCTTTCTAAATATTCTACTGTAAATAGTGTAATTTTATAATAAAGGGGAAAGCAACATTTTTGGTAAGATATTTCAATAATCATATAAATTCACTGGGAATACAGAGAAGAAAGTCTAGGAACAAAGACAATAAAAAGCAAAGATTAAATACCAATGTAGACCATTGGAAGCTTATGCAAGATGACTAATTATGGATCACAGCAAGATGACAGCATTATTGCATGTTGATATGTATGGAATTCCTTATACAAGATGGAGTCCTGGAAATTTTTCTTGGCTACACCAGAGAGTCGTCACATGTCCCTAGATGCATCAGTCAGTCTCTTTGCCGCAGTGCTCTGCTGACGCCCCCTCCCTCTGCCTTCAACATGCTCTCTCCCTGTCCCCTGCAAAACACGCTACCTGCAGACATGTTCAACTTAGGAAGTGGCCCAGGTCATATACTTTCCAGCAAGCTTTGTCGTTCTTATTGTTCTTCTTTGATTGCTGCTTTGTCATCTAACTCAAAAACCTATTTATTTTGCTTTCTGCTCTTCCTTGTTTGAGTGTCAAAACAATCTAAATTCCAAAGAAATTTTTAAAAAACCACGATACTTTTTTTTTTCTTGAAGAAACTGACCTATGAATAATATGCATTTCAAGGTATATTTCAGAAACACACATAAAAGCTGGGTCAATAGGAATCTCTGCTATGTTTCTCACATCCTCAAAAAAACCCACTAAGAGCATTATCTTTGCTGTATAAATTGATATCTAATAATACAAATGAATTTTTCAAACGAATCCATAGTCACAATATTTGCTATTTGTTTTTCATTCTAAAGCCTGAATTTAATGTTTTCCATTCAATACATGTTCATCTCTCACGTGAAGAAATCGTTACAGGCTGCCCTCTTTCTCATTTTCCCTCCCACACAGATATCATACAATTTTCTTAATTTAAGAAGCATGAGGAGGCACCGTATCTTTTTCTCCATCGCAAAATAATAATTCTCTCATGCCACTCGCTAAGGAAACAGATCTGAGAACATCTTGAACCGTAACCCATTCGCGTCTAATCCAAACATGACGCTGAAGGCAATTTCTCATCCTAATTACACCTCCATTACATCTTATTTTAGGAAGCATCTTACCAGCATCACAAGAGGAAGCATCTGTATTCCCTTCTAGCAATTCACTCACCATTTAAGAAGCAAGCTTTAAACTAGAAAAGTAACCAAGGAATATTTAGAATTGAATCCATCTTTCAGTGCCACTGACTGGAGAAATTCCTCCACAGCTCTGTATTATTCTATTCCATCCAAACATGCCACTCGATTTAAAAAGTGGAGCCTCGGTAAGTATTTTACGAAGGCTTTCTTAGGCACTTACCAGTTGCGTACTTTCTGCCTTTCCACCAGCTCCGAGGCTGTCGCACTGAAGGGGTGGGGGAAAACAGCAAGGCAACGCAGCAGCCACTTGAAAATGAGCTGTGCTCCGACGAAGGGATTAGCCCAACAGAAATAAATAAATTGCCTTGAGATTATCTTCAATAATCCTCCACAATCACAAAATCATGGAACGCATTATATGCCAAAATGCGCATGCTCATCAGAGGACACAGTTTAATGGGTAAACCTCTGCTCCAAACCATACTTAAATTCCGTTGATTTCCAGTGGAACCCCTACAAGACTGTGGGCTTTTGGCTCTTCCGTCTCCTAGCAACGTTCTCATTTTTTTTTCCAGCAGTAGTCCTACTAGGCATCAGAGAACACTGACAAGGATGAGTCTCTAAGAAGAAGCATTCCCATTTCACTGACCAATATACGATTTCCCCAGGTAAGTAATACATGAAGTCAGGAATTCAGGAACAAGGTATCCTGAGGAAATTGTCTCATTCAAATGACATTCCACAATTCTGCAAAGCAGAGGTTGTTCTTGTCCCCTTTATTGGCACAATGCTATCAGTGAACCTCTTCTGGAATGTGAATGTGCTTCATGCCAGCAAACTGCACAATTAAATAGTTAAATTGTTAAATTGTGTATTTTGTACTACGTTTTATTACAAAGAGACAGAACCACTCATCCGTGTCACAAAGATATGTTAAATCTGGCCACGTTCAAAAGATGGTGTCTGCTAGGATAAAAGTGATTATAATATAGTCCACTTCCCCTTCTGAAAGTTTATAATCTAATGATCTTCACAGGCTGCAAAAGAAAGCCATTTTGCTTATCTTTCTTTATCAACAATTATGGCTAACAAGATTGGGTAAGTAAATTTGAGTAACTAAACTTGTTACACAATCTGCCCCCAAAATAATGAATTCCCAGAATGTGGAAGAAATAGGGAAATGCATAATTTTGATATGTAATTATAACTATGTACATCTCAACTGATAATGTGCACTTTCATTTATAGTGAATTTTTATGTTTGCTTTTATTGTCACGAATTCATTCCATTCCAGAATGAGTACTGAGTGAATGATTGCACAAAAATTGTTTAGTTAATGTAATTTTTACCAGATAGGAAATACCTGAAAATCCACTTTAAGGCTTTATACTAAAACGAAAGAAAGATCGTAAGTACTATTTACTGTGCATTTATTATATGCTAGGCATTTTTATGAGTATCAAGTGATAAAGAACTTAATATTATCACCATTGCATAGATGAAAAAACTGTAGGGATTAAATAAGAGAACAGGATTACTAATCATTAATACCTAAAGCTCATTCTCTTCATCACTACATCATTCAGTGCATCTCCTTTATCAGTATGTATGTGTGATGCATAATAATTTTATTTGTTTGGAGAAGAAATACAGATTGTGAAATATTCTAGAAAAACAACTGGCCCATAACATTCCAAATGTTATTGTCATATTTTAAGGGGGAGACTATCCTAGTTTAAAGGTGATTAGAAAGTTATGAGAACTGAATTTGATGTGTGGCAGTAACTGGACCTTGGAACAAAAGTAAAACATCTATAAAAAACAGACAGATGGACTTACATCCACAAGACATGTGCTGAAGTACTGGGGGGAAATGGCCAAAATGTCTAAAATTATTCTTGAATGTATGTCACAGAGATAAGAGTTGGCAAATCTAAGTCAAGTATATACAGATAGTCACTGTGTTGATTCTTTGAAATTTCCCTGGGGCTCCAGGTACTTTAAATGAAAATATATATACATTAAATTCAGAAAATAAGGAATAAAATACTTGCAGAAAAATAATTATTGCACAAAAGTTCTATGTAAAATTAAAATAACTTTAAGTTCTGCACTTCTATAGTCCTCTCCCTCTCCCTTTCCAAGTCCATATGCACTTGGAAAGGATGAAGCAGGATGGCCGCAAATTCGAGCCCAATCTGGACAACTTAATATTTTAACAAGACCCTGTTTCAAAATGAAAGATTTTTTTTAAAAATTAAAACTAAAATTGAGAGTATGTGTGTGCATATTTCTGTTGATGTGTTTCATATCAAGGATGAATCTTAGTACAAGTACCTGGGATCAATACACAATACCACACACACAGTACAAGGAGAGTTAGAATTCATGTATATTTTGGGATTAATGACAATCAAATTTTAATCACTCAAGAAAAGACTTTTGCATACTGACAATTGGATAATTATTTGTTATGCGCCACCTAGTGGTCAAATCCCAATTTACCATGACTGAAGGATAAATTTTATCAAGGACCATTAAATATTACTGATAATTCATACTGAAGTAAATAAATTTTCCTTACCGTGTATTAATAGAGCTGAAGGCAGTTCCCTTAATCCTAGTTATGCACTCTGACTTGTAAGGGAATGCAATGAAGGGAAGAGATGGATGTGACATACTGACCAACTTGTGCACCTCCCCATAGGCCACAAAGCTAAGGCTCAAATGAAATCTGACCCAAGTCTTTCTGAACCACCCAGTAATCCTCCCTGGAACACGGCAAAAGAAGCAGCCTCATGGGGAGTATTTGTAGGAATTTCTCTGCCCTATGGGTGGCTGCCAGCAGGCTGTTTCTCATGCACCTTCCTCCTTCCAGCAAAGTGTGGGGTTCTCCATCTTGCTTTGTCCGTTACACCATGGCCTCTGAGATCTGCTTAGCTATAGTGTGGGACAGTTTCTCCATGACAGAGCAACTCACAACGCAGGTCATCTTTGGTCCTGCCCCACTGATTCCCTGTCTTCCCGCGGGGCTAAGGATGGCAGAGCAGACCCCGTGATATTCTTGCTAATGCCCTCTCTTAGTATCACACTCTCTGCATTACTTAGGCTCACTGTGTTCTGGCCAAATCTATGGGTGTCACACCCACCCTAGAAGGTCTTGCTGCTTAGAGATTCCTTGATTTCTTGGCAGGGACATTTTTCCTTCTCAAAGTTAAACGGATAGAGTTAGAATTTCTTGACTTTTTCTGCTTTGAGAACACTTTAAACAATAATACAACTCTGATTTTTAAAAATTTTTCAACATTTATGTGATTTGTGGTACTAATTTTGAAGTGCAGTATTAATGATTTATTTAAATTTGTATCACCAGAAAAGTTTTATTATATGAAAAAAGCTGGTCTCTAAATCAGAATACACATTATGATTAATAAAGCCTATATGACGCCTAAACCAACATTCACCTGGGAAATAAACCAACTGAGTGACAGAGTTATAAGTAAGATCAGCAATTGCTATTAGTCACTCTATAATATATAGCCGGGGAAAGCATAACACTTTTAAAACAAGAAAATGACAAGTTTATTGACCTTTAAATTATCATCTTTAAACAGGGTATGGTGGCGCACACCTGTAATCCCAGCACCTGGGAGGCTGAGGCAGGACTGTTGCGAGTCCAAGACCAGGCTGGACTACAAAGTGAGCTAATGGCCAGCCTGAACTGCATCGTGAGGCCCTGTCTCAAAACAACAATAAATAAATAATCAGCTTTAAAATTTACATGAGTTATCATCTTTAAAACTTAGAATCTCTGCAATAGCTCTACCACCCCTACAGGGACTAGCAATAGGAGATCCTGCACTAGTCTAATGCAAAGAGTTTTAGAGAAACTGGTACCAACACTGAACTTTATCCTGTAATCCTCTAATGAGTACACTTACACTTTTAACTTCCTGAGTCTAAGTAACCACCACCTCTGGCCTAAACAATCTCAATAGCCTCCTACTTTGGCTGTGGTCTTTGCCGATATGTTCTCTACACAGCAGCCAGAATGGTTTCTTTAATACAGTTTTTTAATTGACATATAATTTCCATAGAGTGAAATGAATAATGTAAAATACATAACTGAGTTTTTAAAATGCACAGGTATATCAAGATGTAACACAGAATCATCCAAAAAATTCCCCCTGGGAACATCACTAAAATAGGAGAGGAAGGAATTCCAGGACTCCATTCCTTTGCAGAAGTAACAAGGCGATAAAAATGATCAGCTACAACTTTTTGAAGAATGCCAGAGTCCATGCTGTAATAAGAGAAATTATGACATGGGAAACAGTGAGGAGAGACGTGGCTACTTTAATGTATGAGAGTGCTGGGTTATTTTGCCCACCTGTCACCCCTCTCCCTAGACAGGTGGCAGCTATTATGTCAGCACACACACCTGGTACAGGTTATTAGTGGCAACAATAGGAAACTTATCCTCAAAGAGCAGGGAAGTTATTCTCAAAGGGATCGTGGGCTTACCCTACCTGGTAGTGACCCTTCCGGCCCGCAGTAGGACTCGCCTTAGTGTTGCTTCACTCAGGGCTCAGTGCTCAGAAAGCTTTCAGGGAGGTTTTGGCTTAAAGGAGTAAAAAGCACAAATATTGGTGGCAGCAGCCTGCAATAAAGGAAAATAATTTTAACAGACAAAAGGCAGGCCAAGGAGACTAAGAAGGAAGAGATTAGGAAAAGAAAACTCTATGGGTTGAGCGTGAGGCTCAGTGGAAGACCGTTTGCCTGAAACACGTAAGGCTATGCGTTGAGTCCCAGTGCCAGAAAAAGCAAGACTCTTGGAGAGGAAAAAGTAGAAGAATATGGAGATTATTTATTATTATTATTATTATTATTATATTTTCTCTCTTTTTTGTCTTTTTTTGAGACAGGGTCATGCTGCGCAGTTCAGGCTGGCCTTGAGCTCACTTTGTAGCCCAGACTGGTCTTGAACTGGCAATGATCTTCCTGGCTCAGCCTCGCGAGTGCCGGGATTACAGGCATGTGCCATCATGCCCAGCAGAAAAGGGATTTGAAAATCCACCTAAAACTGACAGTATCTAAGGGAGAAGTTAACAGTTCGACAGTCCTGATGGGGAACATAATACCTCACTTTTTATAGTGTACAGTAAAGAACTACACAGAAGATCAGAAGGATAAAAGGGAATTAATTAACATTATAACCAACTAGATGTACCAGACATACAGCATACCACACATTCACAAAAAAATGCACATTTTTATCAAGTGCACATGGAACATTTTCCAGGACAAACTATATCCTACGGTAATTTTAAAAGACTGAAATCATATGAACATTCTTGTTCAACCACAATGGATGAAACCAGGTATCAGTAACAGAAGCAAAACAAAAATATTCACAAATATGTAGAAATTAAACAATATCCTTTGAAACAACCAGTGAGTCAAACAAAAAGTTATAAGTAA